GGCGTCAGTGGGCTCGGTCTGTGGTCTGTGCCATGAGGCTGACGGCGAGCTCTTCCGCTGCAGCCAATGCGGCGACCTCCGGCACGAGGTCTGCGGGGGGCCTCATCCTGACACCGCAGTGAGGCTTTGCCGGCGGTGCCGGCGAGGGGCGAACGTCGCCGACGACGACGACCACACCAGCGGCTCGCGGAGTAGCACGGAGCTTTGCAATTCGACAAGCTCGAGTGAGCGGGCGGAGTTGGATGCGTACTTCGGTAGTGATTCGGATAGCGACGATACGAGTCTATCCGGTTTTGTGGTGCACACTAGCGAGGAAGGCTCCGAGGAGGATGAGTCGAGTGACTTGAGGTCTTCTTCCAGTCGCGACGTCTCACTTCAGGAGGGATGTGCTAGAGAGAGACATGGGAAGAAAACACAAGGTAGTGTTAAATCTCAGAATGAGCTAAAGCCTCCCCAAGATTCTTCCCGAACTGCTATCCGCAAGCGTGTTCGTTCTCCATCGTATTCGATGGATAACAGCAGGAATGATGATGATTTGGTTGTGTTGGGCATGAAGGCCCCACCACCCGGTAAATCCGTTGAATCCCCAGAGAATGGTCTGTTACTGTCTTCTGATTCCTCGATATCTTCGGCGGTGGATAGGTAGGGGCTTAGGGGGGATGACCGCCACAAGTGGCGCAAAAGTGTTTCGACAATGCCTTTTCTTTCTAAAAAAAGAAATGTGATAGACATTGGGAAGAAAGACAACAAATTGGCATGACACAGCAAGGAAACACAACCCTTAATTAAAGCTTCATATTTTAAACAAAACAGAGCAGAATGACATTTCTACAACTGAAACTTAATTGTCAAAATGTAAGGAAGGGGGTGGGGAATGAGGGAGCGAGGGGTCTTTAAGGGTTTTGACTACATCGTTTATGCTCGTTTTAATGGGATGAAAATAATGAAATGATTTAGTATGGAGTGCCCCTCAGACATGCGAAATAGTTCCTGTGATTAAGGAGCTAATATTAATATTGTCAATGAAGAAGCGAGCTTGTTCTCAAGAAAAAAGAATCACTGTTTATTCTGAGATAGATACTAACAATATCCATTTTGGTCATAGCTAGTGTAAATTTATAAATAAATGCATTTATTAAAGTTCATTGAACCCTATATAAAACACTAATCAAGCTACTGGATGATACTTTAAGTTTATCTGTTTCCTTTTGTGTCATATTATAAATCAAAATCAAACTAAAATGAAGATTTAGAACTTTTTAAATATTTCTAGTGCTAGGAAGAATCAAGTTATTACATAGCACAGGAAAAAAAAATACAAAGTTGAAGTTCTGTCAGCTTCCCCTCCTCCCCAAAATAAAGTAGAATAAAGATTGTGATTCTCATAGGATCTCTGTTATCTCAATATCTCTTTATTAGAATATACTAATACTATTATCAATGGGGAGGAGTAATAACCAGTTGAGAGCCACTGCGAAGGCAAAGAACAAGAGCTTTATACCAAAACAGGTTAAGAGCAAGACTCGCAACCAGTATCGAAAACTGAAAATATCTAAGGCTAAGAAGGGGAACAACTTCATGCATAAGAAGCTTTCATACAATGTAGTCCGTGGTAAGGACGGAAAAGTCACAAAGCGCAAATTCCGTGCAACCGGAGGCAACCATAGTGGTGCGGCCAATAAAGCTTCTGCGTCCAAAATGAAATCTAAAGGCAAGTAGAAACCAAAGGCAATCTGACATATGGGCAGGTATTGAACTTTATGCACAAATTGTATAATTATAATTGGTGTTATTTTGATACACTATACAGATAAATTAATGCATAATCCTCTTTTCCATAAAGGAAACCTAGATTTCTGGATACACATCATTCCCCGGTATATAGAGGGAATTATTATGAAAAATATCATTTATTATTTTTTTCCATTATTTTAAGTTTAGGGCCACTAAATATTGGAATCACATGATTAGAAGGTGCGTTTGTTCGCTTATACCACTTGTTGAGGCAAGAAATCTCTTTTTCAATGAACTGGGAAGGCCCCTACCCCAACCTGCTGCCCCTCTACCGCGTGTACTAGAGGCTCTTGGAGAGCATTACGCACCTTCTTCTGGAGGCGAAGCCTTTGTTGAGGCCGCCTTGAACCATGTTACCCAGTTAGATCGTACCGATGAGGATTCTAGACAGATCGCCACGTGGTACCGGGGTTCGACCCCGTCGAGCCCCTCCGGTGTGGAGGGTGGTCGGATGGTGTTGGCGCTAATGCGGGCCTATCCACACAACGTCCTGGTGCGTGAGGGCGGCTGCCGATGCCTGGCGAATATCTCCCAGCTTTCGGCGCCTCCACTCGGCGAGGACGGCCTCGCGGAGTCTTTAGTGCGGGAGGGGGCGGTGGAAGAGGCCCTGGGGACCGCCGCAATGGCGGTGCGGCTGAGCGGGAGAGGGCGCTCCCAGGTGGCGCTAGCGGTGTTGAATTTGATTTGCCTCTCGCGCACGGGCGTCGCGCGGGCCGCCACTGCTGGGGGGGAATCTATACTCTCAGATTTTCTTTTCACCGTTATGGAGACCGGCGATCGCGACTCTGAGGCTGCTCGGGCTCGGTCCACGCACGAAAAGTACCCTGTGCAGGAGGGTGGGGATGCGGGTTTAGTTGGTCTCGGGCGTGAGAGGTGTATCGCGTTGGATGCCGCTCTGGGGGCTCTGGCAGGGGTCCTTGCAGCTGAGGCTTCGGAAAATGCGCAAGGGATTTCGTACAATTATGAGAAGGTCGGCTACGCTACCGTGGATGCAATTGTGCGCACACTGCTCATGTCTTCCAGTTTATTATGCCACATCGCGCGGAACGACGGCAATATCTGCGCTTCGTTTCCTCCGCAGCGGTGCATTGCTGTCAGGTTTTCCGAACTTTCCTCTCACCGGCGAACCGCCATAGTCATGTTATTGCCTCTCCTGCACAAGGGGTGGATGACGCTTTGCGATATATGCAGCCGCGGGGAAAACATTCCGATGGTCTGTGAGTCTCTTTGCACCGCTTCCAGTGTGAGCGAGGGAGAGGAATCAAGGGACTACGGGAACCTTGCAGAAGGAAATAGGGAGTTGTTGGAGCCGCTATCGGGGAATGCGGTCGTCAGACAGCACGTCGCGCCTCTTTTATCACATGTTGTAGAGGCGGCGCGGTTTTTAGTTTCCGAGCTGGAGGGGCTGCAGGATATGGGCGATGCGGGGATGTCGACCTTACAACGCGAGCTGAGAGAATCTGTGATGGCGTGTATGGATCGGCTGACCGCAACCCGAACCGACGTGCCGATAGAAAGGCTTCAGCATTCTGCTATCACTGCGTCTGGTGCTGCGGTTGTGAATGATGACATGGATGGGGTCTCGGTCGTTCTCCCCATTCCCGCGGTGCGGAGTGTGATGGAGGTGCTTGTCTCGGGCGATCTTAGTTATATGGCCCTTGCGACGGCCGTCAGGTTGCATACCCATTTACGACATGCCTCCCACGGCGATGTCGTGTGTTCAGCTGGATCGGAGGACCTTCCTTGCCTACTCCCGTGGGATGCGGACGACTTTCGTTTACTTTGCAGGTCCATCTCGGTTCTCAGCCATTTGGCGAGGACCGATGATGAGGGCGCGCGATCCGCCAATACGCTGGCGTCCCTGCAGGTGATGCTGCGCGGCGCGCTTGATGGGATGAATGCCGTGGCGTCGTGGAATCCGCACGGCGATGGCACTCGGGAGATTTTCCTCGCGGAATTCTTTCGGACCCCCATCGAGGCTGTGGGGGAATCCCACGGGGCTGGGGACGAAGTGGATGGGGAGGGGCGCATGTCCGGCCTCCAACTTCGCTCCGACGAGAGGGAGACGGCATCGCTGCGGTTGTTTTTTACGCAGCAGATAACGTTGGTGGGTCAGCTCTACGCGGTCCTGTCTGGAGTGCTCCAGGCGCCAGGTGGGGTGCGCACCCTTGCGGAACTCAACGTGATGGACACCGTCAAGGGGGTGCAGCGCTGTCTGAATCGTGTCGATGCTTCTGGGATGAGGAGGGGAAAGGAGCTCGGGGGGGGCGATTCAATGACTTCTTCGTCCTTCGAGGAGGCGGAACCCCCTACGGCGGCGGCAGAGGAGAATGCACATGGTGTGGCCAACGGGGAGGGGATGCCCAGCGGCGTTGAGAATTCCGTGCACCACCTAATGAAGTTTGGTGGCAGGTTAATTTGGTATTTTGAGACGGTAAACCAGCCTCCCGCTGGTGGTGTAGACCCTGTAAAATGTGAAAAGTGAGTCCCCATCAGGACTTTTTCTTTGGCTGACACTTTTCATGAGGAATAAAAAAAAATGCATAAACGTATGGCTAGGCAATAGTTTTTTATTCAAACTTGGTTTAGTGTCCTTTGACATTACTCTAGCTTTTTCCTTAAAGTACCTTACACAGGATGAGGGGTGGCGTTTTTGATGTGTGTGTCCATTGCATCGTTTCTCTTCATTCCGTTATGGGGTGAGAAATAATTTCAACTATAGATAACCAAAACATGAAAGAACGAACCGAATTAAATAAAACTCTTCTTTTTTTCAGTGTTGCATCCCTTTTTGGCACGAGTCTTGTATATTTTTGTCACAAATGGGTTATTCTCTATTACTCAACTTTTTTGTAGTCTTTGATAGTTTCAGTAATAATATTTCTAGCTTTATTTAACACCTTCTCCCAAACGGAATGTGTTTGTTATCATACATGAATATTCATATAGTCTGCTAAAGGGAATACAATCATCTTGATTACTAGACGCGAGGCATATGGATTTCAATATTCCATGCCTTCCCTCAGCACCCACCGCAACTGCTTCTCTTTCCCCGCTTACCACCAATGACGATGACGGGATTCTTCAACTCCTTCAATCCCTCGAGGATCACCTTGATTCCAGCGAAAAGTCTCTTCAGCAGACTATGCAGGACTACACAAAGGATCTCCTCCGACTTCGGCACGGCCTGCGGTGGGACGAATCCCTCAGGGCCCCGTCCTTTCCGCCCCCCTCCACAGCCCTCGCCGCGACCTCGACGGATGGCTTGGGTGTGGGGTCAGGGGGATGGATGGAAGGACAGAGCCCTGCGGAAGCCCCGGTAATGGCCTTTTCGGCCGCCAGAGCCCGCTCGCGCGCTCGCACCGCCGTTTACCGACGCCAGGCCGCCATCGCGCGCGTGGAGTACCGATTGGGGGAGCTGTGGGGGCGGTATGTGGAGCCGTGGTTTCGCGAATGTGTCTATGCGGGGTTTTTCCTCCGCGCGATTCGGCGCCTACGCGAGCTAACCCGACGGGTGGAGCGGGCCCATGAACGATTGAGGGGGCGCTACACCTTTCGCGGCGTGCTCGAACGTGGGGTTTTGAGCGACCGTCCTCCGCAGGAGCCCGGGACCCCCGCCACGTGCGTGGGAATGGAGGTGGGGGATGAGGCTGGTGAGGGGAACGCACCTAACGCGAGCGGGCAGCCCACCGAGGATTTCCCCCCTCCACGGGATCCGCAGTGGGGGCTTGGGCTTCCCGTTGTGCGGCGCTCCCTTTCGGAGGTTCTGCCGCTTCTTCTTCGGGTGCTGCCGGAGACGGCCGCGGCGCTGGAGGAGGGTGCCGCGCGGCGGTACGTCCTCTTTTTTCAGGTCCTCCTGCCGGCCGCGCTCACCAGGGATGAGGAGGCCCCCTCCACGGCAGCGGCAGTTCAGTCTCTTCTTGCGTGGCCCCTCCACGCCCTCCGACGTCTCCTGCGATCTTCGTCTGAAAATTCAGACGGACTGGGCGACATATCCCTCGCCGACGCCGCGGATGGGGGGCTTTGCCAACTCCTGGCCCTTTCCTTTTTGGTGTGGAAGAGCGCGCAGGCGGGGCAGGGGGCGTTAGACTCCTCGCATTCATTATCCCCCGAGCCGCCGCCGTCCCAATGCGCTTTACTCGTACTTCTTCGCTACCTTGGCGGGCTCCATGCGCATCTTCAGTATTGCCGTACAATCGCATCCTCGTTGTTGGCATTGAACCAGGAATGGGCTGGGCTTTCGCTTTCCGTGGAGAGGGAAGGAGACAATTGCGTTTCCACCACCAACGCCTGCCTCCCGCACGCTGAGGAGTTATTGGATAACTCTTCCTGGCATATGTGGTGGGGTGCCACTCCGGAGCCTTCATCTTCAGTTCCACCCTCATGGGATGAGCTTTTGCGCAAAGTTAAAGACATGGCGGTAGTGGCGACGCCAACAACGCCAGAGGAGGAGGAGGGGGAGGAGGAAGAAATGAAAAGATTAAAAGAGGCATTTGATGTATGTTGCTTTGCATGGATGCAGACACTACAGAGTGCCAAACACATCATTGGATTGAATAATGACAGCGATCAGAGGTGTATGCACGATGGTAAGAAGAGTTTTACTACGTGTGACCCCGAGTTGGGTTCGATGCAGATGGAGATTCGTATGCTGTACGAGTGGGAACGTACTATACAGAGAGCTTTCCAAAATGCCGAAATGATGTGGCAAGATATCACACATCAAAGCTGAAGAATCCTGGTAGGGGGGGCTGGAAAGAGTGTTCGGGTGTACGGGATTGCTGCATGTGTTGAGATCATTCCCATAAGACTATTTTATTTCTTTCACCGACTTCAAACGACTTCGTGAATTTTTTTCTGTTTCTATTTCTTTTACTATATATTTCTGCTATATTATTCCATCGAAATGGATGATGAATAATGATGTCATCACCATCCAAGATGGGAGAAGTTTGCATGTCAAACTGATCCTTTTTTCTTCTGCTCACATTTTATACAGTATGGATTTTACCGTGTTTAGATTCACTGTTCTACTTGATCTATATTCGAATGTGCGGGTAATCTTTTTTTAATTTTCCTTTTCTACTTTACCACAGAATTTTAAATGCCTCTCTTCAGCTAAAGAAAAGTCTTTAACTTTTATTGGCTACCATACATCCGATTAACATTAGCTAACAGTGAAGTTGGACCCGAAAAGGGTGTATGGCTTTGTGGAGCTGTCGAAGTTCCCTTGGTATTATTGCGTACGCTTTTTCTCACTGTAGAAAAAGGTGTGAGATTACATATATGAGCATAACTGTAAAGTAGCGAAATTGTTTATTTTTCAGTTTTCGAGGAAACCATACACTGTCTAACGAGTAACAAACTACATATATAAGTAGATATATGGGGTGTGAAAAGTCAAAGTGTAGAGATCAACGTGGTGCAATACTCTTCTCTAGTAAAAGTCCGAAAAAAACAAAGCTAAAAAAGGACCATTACGCACCATTCGAACCAGATGAAGAGCTCTCCAAGACCTATTTTAACAATATCCATGCCCTACGCAGCAAGGGCGTGAAATATGGCATACTTGAGGAAGACACCACAGATTCCCCCAAAGAACGGTTCAACAACGTCGCAATTGATTCCAAAGGGAGCGCATCGCACCATCTGATCTCCCTATGCAGGGAGGGATGCGTGTTGAACAGCTTTCAAGAACAAACCGACAAATTGAAAGCTGTAGATTCTGACTGCGACCACCTTTCTGAGCGATCTCTGGATCCCGCAGAGGTGACGACCATCTTTTATTGCTTCCCACTTAGCACGTTTTGTCCGATCAATGAGGGAAAATTCATTCGTACACGGCTGGCCACAATGGTTCTAAAGGTGGACCTACGTGACCCCACACTTAGGAAGGCGAACGCGCCGCAGCCCTGGATCGAGGATCCTCCAAGTATGGCTTTTCAAGATACCGGAAAGCTTGCTTGTGACGTTAACAATGATAAAGGAGTTGCTTGTACCCAGGAGGCGCTAACGAAAGGTGAAGCGATGAACTTGGTCCAGGAAAACGTGTCCTCATATCCGTCTACCGGCTCCCTCATGCAGCCTGAGCTTCCCTCTGTGGCTTTGTATTCTTCACAGAGTATCCGTAGCTCTAAAGGGATTGGTAGTGTGTCGAACCAAGATCACTCACCGCAGGTACACCGCTTTTTGGTTGTAGCCAAGGAGATGCATTTCACAGCGGAGCACCCTCGCGAGGAAGTGCTTGCGCATCTTTGCAAGCATGTGCTCCGCTGGTCTACACTTTCCGCGCGCAGCCCATTCCTGCTGCGATATCTGTATATGGAGTATATTGATGTGAATGAACTGGAATCCTTTCCTTTTTCCAACGACAGCCTTTCATCTCACAACGTATTAGAGGATCGCTACATATCAGCTAAACGACCCGAGGCAAAGAACGGCACCGATTCGTTGTTTAATGATCGCGTATCCCGGGAGGAAACAGGGAGGAAGTGGCCAAAATCGCCCTTCAGTGATTTAGCGTGTCCTGAGTTTCATGAGGTAGCCGGGGTCCGGATATATACCGAGCTCTCCAGGTATGGCAGCTTGCATACTTTGCAAACGCGTGAAATGCCTTCCCTGTATGGGCGGAGTTATCTGCATGAGCTAACGGCACGTGTGTGTATGCGGGAGGTTTTGCTCGGACTTTTTTTCTTGCATGAGAACGGTGAATTGCAGCGCGACCTCAACGCCCGTAGCATCCTCTTGCATCAACCGATCTGCTCTGTGTACAAGACCTATTTCCCTGCTTACATTTCCGAAGTCCCCGCCGGGGATCTCACTCTGGTGCCTCCAGTAAAGTTCAGAAGCGTCCTGAGGCTTTTGGATCCCAAGCCCGCAAAGCTCCAAGAGCAGCAGACCGACCTCTCATCAAGTTTGGGTACGACCAAGCCTTCTGACTTCTTACACGAAAACCAAGCGAATAATTTCTGCAATAGTGTCCATAGCGACAACGTAGGGAGTAAGTTGTCTGGGAGCACCAGCCCCAAGTTCATCACCTTGGGCATGGGCGCCAGCTTAAATTCGGGTACCTTGTCTGTGAATAACGCTCATTCAAGTGCCAACAAGTTGGTTGGATTTAATTCATCGCAGCGGTCGGTTTTCATCCCACGCAACCAAACTAATTCGCTTCTTAACAAATGCCCCAATCCGGGGGCCACCAGCCCCATCAAGGCCAACGGTATCCCGAAACCCAGGGTCCCCCGGCCGAAGCTGTCCTTACCCCTCCCCACCCCCGCCCGGAGCAGGGGGGCGAGCAAGGCGGAGGGAGGCCCGAGCGGTCGAATCCCCCGTCTTTTCCCCTCGCGGAGTCCCCGCGGGAGGGCCTGGGATCCCCCGGCC